CCCACTCGACTGTAGCACTGTACTGGTTGTGACAAACTATGATAGTGAATGTTCCAACAGCAAGCTTGAACTTCTTAAAACCTACCTCTGTTTTACAATTGGCCAGTAGCAATTGAATGGACTAGCATTGATACATATTCATTACAGCATGAACATTGTGTAAGTTGAAGTAATTGACAAATTTGTCATGAAACATCCACCAAAAATTAAACTTGAAGATATTGTACAGTAGTGTCTTAGTGTTTTTGTTTGATAAGCATTAAGATGAAATTGATAAGTGATGTTAGTGCAAATTGTAGATACAGAACTGTACTTTAAACAGTGCTGTATTTGTTATGTTTTGGATATTTTTTTGTTTTGTTTCAGTACACATAATTTTCACTGGGAATTTTGGTATTATATTCAATTTTGTTTTCGGTTCCATAATTAAAAATACTTATATATGCACAATTATGCAAAATTATGTTCATTTATGATACAGATATTTTCAATGGATGTTTTGTTCTTCATATGTTTTTGTTTAATTAATGAATTTGAACTTGACATGGAGATGACAAATGGAGAAACATTGTAGCAGAATCAATGATAATTTTATGATTAACTTCAAATAGGAGGAACCCTTATACTGTACATGTACATTATCAGTTTTATTATAATAATTTTGTGCACATCATCCTAAGTGGAATGTAGATTACTGTAATTTAAAAAAACAAACAGAAGATAAAAGAAATGGAAGTATATACAGCTGCTCCTCGACTTATGATGGGGTTAGGGACCCAAATCCAGGTCGTAAGTCGAATTGGTCGAAGTCGAAAATGCTTAAATAATACATAGAAAATATAAAGTGGGTGTCTCTTTTTCTTCTCAGCACCACAAAACTCTCACTTTTAAGCTTGCCAGCCATTTTAAAGTGAATTACAAAATTTTTTTTTGTCAGTACACAGCGCAACTACCAACGTCTGGACTCGAAAATACGTAATTTGACAAAATTTTGGTACGACTGGGGCGGTCGTATGTCCTGGTGTTCGTAAGTCGAGTAGGTCGTAAGTCGAGTAGGTCGTAAGTCGAGGAGTAGCTGTAGTAAAAATCACCCCAGGTTGCCTCTAGAATGCAGGATTTTGCACCACCCCCTAGTGGCTACACCACTCAGTACTGTATCCATGGAATGGTGACATACCTAAATACTGTATGTACGTGGATCCATCTGCTTAAAGGCCATCATGGTATACAGTAGTACCCCGATTTACGCGGTCAATTGAACCCACAGGGTACCATGGAAAGTGAAATCCGCATAAATGGAACAACAGAACATATGGGATTAATTCCAATAGAGACTGACCCGACCCCCAAACTCCACTTTTTGACGACACACAACTATGTTGTAGTAAAAATTTTATCTTAACTTTATGATGGTATGCACAAACAAGTAATATAGAAGAGGTTTGGTTAGGAAAAATAAAGGTTAGGTTAGGAAAACTAAAAATTAGGTGTAACACTTACGTTAGTAGAAGAGATGGGTTGGCATACTGGGCCTGGAGGGATGAAACTGCCGCGGCTAGGTCAAGCGTCGTCTTTCCTCCCTCCCCGGGTGGACACGTCATATTACTTTAAACCAATTACAGCTAGCAGCAGAGGGGGGTAGGGATGCATGGCCAATCACAGTCCGATACGTCATACTGTATGACGTCAGTGATAACGCAACAGAGACATGCATTGCGCAACCTTACCGCGCGGCTTGCCCAGGCGGAGGCGGGAGCAGGCGGGTGGGGCGAATCTAAAAATAGCGTTGAGCTGGACACTGCGCGTATATGGGTAGATGAACCGCGGAAAGTGAAAGTTCGGTTCTGGCGAGGCACCGCGTATATGAGAAATCGCGTAAAGTGAAACCGCGTAAAGCGGGGTAATACTGTACTGTACTGCAAATCATAGATTTTATGTAGTAAAGGTAAATAATATGTAAATTTGGTACCGTACATAGTATATACAGTACAGGTACTGTACTATTATTTCTGAACTAGAGAAGTTACCTAGAAATCTTATCCTGTATAATTTGTATGGCAGATGGGAATGATGAATATATAAGTACATGTACTGTACAGGTATATGTAATTTTATAATTTGAAAAGGAATATAGAAGTACAGTACTGTATGATCTAACATACCTACCAGCTTGAACACTTGATCGGTTTACTAAAGCATAATGAATAACATACATCACTTCATAACTTTTTTAGATGTACAGTACTGTACTGTACCAGGTAAGTTTATACAGTATGCAAATAAAAGTGCTCTATGTGTAATTGTCATACCCTGATTAATTATCTTTATTTATTAACTGCCATATTCCACTCATTAATCCCTTTCAGTGTTGCTAAATTTCTCTGCAAAATTACCTCTACAGAGTGAGTTTTCCAAAGTACAGTACTGTACAGGTACATTATTGTAAAACAAATAAATTAGATACTGTATCAGTACTGTATCATGAATTACAAATCTTACAGGAGCATAATTCTCTCGAGAGACCATTTTTAACCACTGGAACCCCGCTCACTTTTACGCCTCTGTGTGTACAGTAGTGCAGGCGGTTGGGCGCCCCACCCGGGGCACATTGCTGACCCAGGGTACATGCACATTTGTCAATCTTTAGATCAACTTGTCAAACCCCCACGGCCACAAGAAATATCTTTCAGTGGGGGCGATAATTTATTTGATATACCCTGTATCAAGTACTGTACTGTTAGCAGTAAAAGTACCAATAAAAAATACTGTAGGTGGTAGCAACCAGCCACTAAATGGTTTGTGGCCATATTTTTACAGTACTGTACTAACCACGGAGTGGTTGAAAATAGTCTCCATACTCCAGAACCTTTTGTCACCATTTCCACTTAGCTGACTGTACATAATATAAATATTGTGTCAGGTACATCACAAAAAAAAAGAAATAATATTAATTGGTGGTTAGGTCAGGATAGGTAGGGTTTGGTTAATTTGCTTTAGGTTAGCATTAGGGTGGTTAATCCTTAGGTGAAGTATGCTCAGGTGGGGATTCTTCAGGTGATCCATATATAAAATATTTAAACTGTGTTCACTTCTTTGTAATGAAAGCTCTCATGTTTCCCTTTTCTTTTTTCTATTTTGTCAAGAGAACATACACCTGCCATAGGAAGTGCTCCCTGGGACTTTGAGTCCTAGGTTTTGAGAGGAACCAGAAACTGTACTGTAACTGTACCATTGTTATTTTTCCTAAAATGGTTTAGTGATGGAACCGATCAATTGACCTCTTTATAAAAAGAAATGAGACTTGAGTTTGGCTTTTTGTATAGAGAGCATATTTTGTTGATTTAGAGATGAAAGATACAGGTGCATATTGAATACAGTATACTGTATGCAAAAACACTTTATTCTATGCATTTGTTTGAATTTTGTTAAAAGAAACTTGGAGATAACTATGGGAATATAATTCCAGTTACTATAAACAACAGAAAAATGTGTTCTGTATTGTTTTTGTGCTTTTATTCTGTTATACAGTAGTGCAGTCTTTTAATAATTCAGTATTTTAATTTTAATTGCAGTACAGTATAGTAGTAAAGTACTGTACTGTACAGTATTTTCATTTGTTGAAATGATTGTTTTGAAAAATGAAAAAGATTCTGCATACTGTTCAGTATTTAGGTAATACTGTACTGTGAGAAGGGTACAGTATTATCCATTGTGATCCTACCAAACATTGCAGGTTTGCTCTGGGTACTCTGGTTTCCTCCTGTACTGTACTAACACTGGACAATATAGGTCATAACAAGGTAAAAAAGAACACCAACTGTCTGATAAGTGGTGAAATGACACATGAAAAGAGTATGTACTTGATTTAGCGGCTTTGTAAAAGTATGACATATGATTTTCAAGTAAACTTCCAAATTGCTTCAGTTATGTTATGGGTGTTGATGGGGCTTCCTTACTTGGTGTATATTTAGATAATTTGGTAATGTATGCTTACTTCAGAATAGTCGAATGGCATAACAAGTGTAGACAGGTTAACCCTTTCAAAATGGGATGCCACTTTTAATGTTTTATTTGGCCAATGCCAAACGTTTTAATGAAGCTCCCAGGTAGTTAAACTGTTATTTAGAGGCGTGGTTTAATTAATTACAGGAATTTGTACAGAATTTAAATTTATATCAGTGGCTTGTACAATATGGCACTGGACACTGAAACTTCAGGTGCAGATGCCTTAGAGTTTGTTTACCTTTGTCCTGGTAGGGGTAGACTTTACTGTAGTCTTTACCAACTAATAATTTATTGTGAGTGTTTATTTTATGATTTTCAGGAATAAAATCTGACTTGCATTTTCTTTCATTGTGATAATTTGTGACAATTTAAATGATTCTTTAAATATTTTATACATTTTACATTGAAAATATCACTTCTCTAGTGTGCCTTGTAAAATTGCTGATGAAAGATTCTAAACTGGCTGTGCATATACATTTATACACCTTAAACTAAACTGGAAAGTATTATAAAACTTGTTATCAGTAAAAGAATATTACTGTACAGTACGTATACTGCTTGTTATCATTAAGAGTAAATTGTGTATGGTACTGTACAATGCTGTATACTTTGTACTGCTTATTATTGTTCTTACTGTACAGTACATAATTGGGTTTAAATTATGAATTTTTGCCTCCTTGTCTTCTGTTGGCTTGCTTGACAGTATTGAAAATTGACAGCCAGAATACAGTACATGGAGAGAGTGGTTAACTATTGGAACACAAATTTTCATTAATAAAAATTTGTTTCTGCTGCTATTCTCAAATACATGATGACATTTAACTGTTGCATATCCTGTATTAACAGGCTCATGAACCTAACTACAGTATTGGATTGAAACTAAACAGAACTAAAACAAATTTTCCGTAACCAAACCAAACCAGACTATTTAAATACTGTACAGTACTGGATCTCTATAGATTAAATTTATGGACTGAGGTACAGTTCTGAATTCTTCAATTGTCATTAAGTTTTCGAGCACAAGATGTGGAATTAGGAGTTGGAAAGACCTTTGGAAAGCTGTGAATACAGAGGCTCATATAGGGTATGTGTATGTATTTATTTCTGGAAATGAAAAAGTTTTGTCAGAAACAAATATTCGTTTTAAAAAGACGAATGCTAATACAGTACAGTACTTAAATATTAATGCACAGATGTAGGATACTTGTTAACAGATTATGCAAGGACACTGGACATGACACAAAATTTGTTTTTGTGAGTTTTTAGATACAGTATGTAATAAAATAAGTAATATTAAAGCAGACATCTTATCACCTTATTATCTTTTCATTGAAATACTGTAGCTATACTTGTGACCTGCATCTAGGAACATGACCAGCAAAATGGGAAGATAGTTTCAAAACTGCGTTGATTTTTCCTACAGTTACAGCATTTTTCTTACTTATGAGACACACCCACCAGAATAATGTCACTGTTAATCTTGACACATGGGGAACTACATGTACAATGAAACAACCAATAGGCATATCTATTTATTTTTCAATGGCTTAGCTATATGTGGAGGGTTTTGTGCTGGGAAATCTGAGTTGAAAGCTAGTTTGATTAGAAGGTAAATTTGAACCCCTGCTTGCTGATTGGAAATGTCAACACTGCCATGACATTGATGACAGCTAGCAGTGAACTGTTGTACAGTACTGTACAGTACTGGATCCTTAGGGTATAGCCTCTTACAGTATATACAGTGCAATACAAGGCATATTACAGTTTAATTTTGTCAGTTCATGAATCCATTTCATCATTTGCCTGTGCCTGACAAACTTTGATTTAAACCATGGTGGTGTTTATTGTATTTGTTCTTATTCTAATAGTTTTTATATGTAAATAGGGAAAAAACAATGACATTACAACCTGGAACTAACATAGACACTGGCAGAACAATCACCCACTACTAAAATTACCATAATACAAAACAACCTAACATGGCATCATCAGATAAAACCAGGATAGGATTTGGGTATTGGCCACTATTCCATGACCCCCTGACCCTTGCTGGTGTGGCTAATCCTCATACGGAGCATACCTCTGAATAAACCAGAGCAGATACACCCCAAATTTATTAATAATAACAATACTACCTGTATAGTACATATTATTATTGAGCATATCCCTCACGTTTAATTAATCTATTGTTTGAGTAACCCTGTTCTACCATAGAGTAAAGAAGCCTTTAAGTTCTACTTATAAAATTATTATAATTAGAACATATTCTCCCATATCTTAAAACTTGACCGACAAAAATATTTAAGCCCAAACTATAAGGTAGTAGGTATATGAAAGATTTTTTGCAAGTCTAAACTTCCCCTTCCTTGCTCTGTGGGCAAACTGCTAAGCATGCAAGAATTGTTATTACAGTACAGTACAGTACCTTTTATGTTTTTTACCTAATGATAGATAATTATTTTATTGAATTTTTTTTTTTGCACATTCTGTATGAATGATTGTGTGTGCATGTAACAGAGTAAAAGAAAATGGAGGAAACTATGTACAGTATATATATCCAAAATTACCAGTTGAACAATAACATAGCTCACAGCTCAGCCTCACCCGCTGAGTGCTACTGGATGGTGAGTTGACTCGGCAATAACATGCTATCTCCATACATATTATTCCTAGTTATTCTTTGTTTAGGATATTATTTCTCGTTATCCCTCATTTAGCGAACAGTTTGCTTAACAATAAGTTTTCAGGAATGCAACCCAATTGTTAAACAAAGGGTACCTGTGGTAGATTAGATTAGAAAATGGTACAGTTCAATCAGTTCTTTTTTCCTGTGTTAATTAGAGGCTTCCTATATACCATACAGGTATATATAGTACAATAAGTAATACCTGTATATCTATTAGCCAGAACTCTCCAATACTCGGCATTGATAGCTCATAATTTTTTCTGGAGAAATTCTCTCAATTCTAGGTCTGTGAGCGAGTTTCTGAGGTTGAAAATCAGGTGCATATTTTGAGAAAAGTTCAGAAAATCTCCTTTTTTTCTGATCTGGGAGCAAATTCTTAGGTTGAGAATCAGACGCACTTTCTGGAAAATTCCAAGGAAACTTCAGGAAACTATCCAATTTTTTTCTCGTGTCAGGGAGCAAATTCCGTGGATGAAATGATATTCAGAGTACCCTGTACAGGTAACTCGCGTTTTACATGTGTTTAATTCAAGCGTTTTTGGAATAAAGCGATTGTTCAATTAATACCAAAAGCTAATTTACACGCTCAAGACAAGTTTAAATTTGGCGCTCATATTCGCCTGGCAGTGGAGTCGCGTGTGATGCCTGGTGAGGTGCTGGTAAGTTATTACTATAAAGTCACAGTTGTATCAACAATTTTAATATTATTATTAATATACTGTATAATAATTATTATAATAATGTAATAATAAAGATTATTACTACTAATGATGAAGGTAATGATGATAATGAAGTGTTCTGTACAACATCTGTGACGACGTCCAGCAAGCTTCCCACGTATAGCTTTCTCAGTTCACACCAGCACTACTTTTTCTCTGTGCTCTCATTTGCATTGTGTGTTTATCACGTGCCTTTTTAGTGTTAAACGCTGTTTTCCCCCCTTGAGCATGTCTGGAAAACGTATCTCTGCCTTCTCTGGGGCGTCTAAAGCTAAAAAGGCACGAAAAACAATCGCAATAGATGTGAAATTAAATGTGATCACCCGCCTTCAGAGAGGAGAGCGTGTGTCGGAGGTTGGCCGCGTGCTTGGGTTAAGTGAGAGCACTGTTCGTACCCTGTACAGTATATGATGGTTCCCCTATTTCATTTACATGTATTCTTATGGGAAAATTATGTTTAATTTACAAATTTTTGAATTAAAGCGGTGATTTTCAAGAATGTAACCCCCGCGTAAAATGAGATGTGGGTATACTGTACAGTGAGTTCTGCTATAACGCGTGTTTTGATAACGCGAATTTGCTCTAACGCGATTTATGAATTCGGAACAATATTTGTATAACGCGATCGCTTGTTTGCTATAACGCGATTTTTGCTTACTATTTCTCCAATTTTGTGGTATTAACTGTGAATATGGTAAAGAAGAATATCTCCAAAAAGCATTCTGATGATAGAATTCCCGGTGATTATCGTAAAAGAAAGGATATAACACTTGAAGAGAAGCTTGATGTTATCAACCTCAAAATCACCCTTCTCCCCCATCAAGTTACATTCATATTTTTTCAAGGTAAAGTGTTAAATTTACTGTATGATTTCATTATTAGATATGAATGTAACATTTATTTAGACTGTGCTATCCTTTGTGTTAGGCTAACTACTAAATTTTTTCGATTTCGAGTAATCTGCACCTAACCCTATTTTCTCCATAAGCCCTGTTATTTCTATTACGCGATTTTCTATAACACGATATTTTACAAGAACACAATTATCGCGTTATAGCAGAACTACCTGATACTGTAATTCTGGAAACTATTTTTTTTTTCCGGGTCTGGGAGCAAATGCTAAGGATGAAATAAAGCGTAATTCTGGAAAATTCCAAGAAACTCTAACCAGTGCAGAACTTTATTTTGCTCAGAAAAATTCTGGGGATGTGGGATTTTTTCGTGTTTGAGAGAGTCATCCCAGAAATCTCTCATCTTCGGAAGAGCTGTCCACCAATTATTTTCACTGTACAGTATATATTTTGATTTAAATGTATAATGTACTGTATTTTCAGCTTTTGACATTAAATTATTTTAACTTTACAAAGTATTTTTGCTTTATTTTTGTATGGTATGAATCTTATGAAATGTGTGTACGTACTGTGGAGTACTGTACAGTACAGGTAATTGGGTGTAAAAACGCACAGTGTAGATAATTTACTTGTAAGCTCATCATACATCCTGGCACTGTGCAGGTTTTAGAGATTTCAGCTGTTTATGAGTTTTGTGGTACAAATTCTCCTGTAGTTTTTATGATTAAATTCTTTGCTGCAACAGTATTAACCCCTTTGTTATGGGGATGTCACTTTTAATATTTTATTTGGCTCATGTTAGATTATTTTATTCAGTTCAAGGGGAATTGGTACACAGGTGGTTAAACGTCATTTTGCTCTGAAGCCTCAAATTCCTGGTAGAATAATTCCTATATTATTGATCTAAAACTCTGGGAATTTCCTAAAACTCAGTTATAAGAAATAATTACTGTACAGTACTGTATATTGTGAGGAAGTAATTAACACCAATACATGTGAGTAGAATATGCAGAATTATTTGAAGATCAGAGGAAATTGTCTTTTTGTGATATATTAAAAGAATACGGGATTTGTAAGGAATGATATTGAATATAAAATTTTTATAGCTAATTTTTTTTTGGGGGGGTCAGTATATCACTGATTATTATTTTTTAAGTTATATACAGCAATCCTATACTGTATTTTGATAATTCTCCTTCAGTTCCTCTAAATTTAGATCTTTAGATTTAAGGAAGAATTTAGACAATTACCAAAAGTTTTGAAAGAAAAAGACTAAAAAATTTTAAATTGAAAAGTTTTCTGTTTAACAGTACGTACAGTAGTATTTCACAAATGGCTAAAATATTATAATGATGGCAACCATTTGACCTAACTTTGTTAAACAGATTGTTGGCAGTGATATTCACTAAGAATGGGTAAAATGTTGGAAGAGTGGAAAACTAGAAAGATATAATAAAATTATTTGAGAAGGTAAATTACAAATTTACCTGCAACTCCTAGACCTGCAAGTCTAGGGAGTTAATGATATAGGATTGTCTCATGCAGAATGATCAAATTCTTTGTATCAAGTAGTATGACTTTGTGAGTGGCAGATCCACTGGGCTTCAACTGGTGACAGTCCTGGATGTACTGTACAGTACTGTTTTGAGTCACAGAGGTCATTATAATGGAGGGGGAGGGCCATTATATGTGCATTGTATGAATACCATGACAACACTGATGAGGTCCTACATTAAATTTTGCTCAGTAAGCTCAATAGTTAGGATTACTGTATGACTGATTAAGATTGAATTATATCATTATTTAATATTGCTGTACAGTACATACTGTATTATTACAGTACAGTGACCCCTCGGTTAACGAACTCAATCCGTTCCAGAAGGTCGTTCGTTAACCGAAAAGTTCGTTAACCGAAACCATTGTTTCAATGGGTTTTTGGGTAATTGGTTCCAGCTCACCGAAAATTTCCTAAATTCAACAAAAATGGTAGAAAAGTTCACTTACTTTGAGGTGTGTATGTAGAAGGCTCCTGGATGATGATGATGATGATGGGAATTACAATGGGGGGTGGAGGAGAAGGAAGAAGAGAAGGCATTGGGGTGGAAGAGAAGTCACCCCATGGCACCATTGCACCCATAAAATTTTAGTTCTCTTGGTGTATTTCAAGATTATTTTCTTTAAATAAACACTGCACTGCATTATATATTGTCAATATGTAAAATATATTTCAAAATGACCAATAATTTGCTTGGAAACACAGAAAAAAAGCGTTTAGTTGAAGAGAGTCTCAAGCAAGATGTTACCTCCAGTGAAAACAGAGAGAGACTAACTCCTGTTTGCTGTGTTAAGAGGCTGGATGCTGCGCTTTAAACTAGTCACTTTACCTTCAATTATGTTCAATAATTGTTAAAATGACTAAAAAATTTAATATTAAACTTTTAAAATTATTGAATAGTATAAACTTCTTGATATTTACTAAAATAGTTAGGAATTTAAGCCCTAGAACCGATTAATGTATTGGCGGACTGATACTAAAGCTGGTTGCCCGGCCAGTGCAAGCGAAAACATGTTGAGGTCGGTTCGTAAGAAATTCGTTAACCGAATTTTTGTTCGTTAACCGAATTGAAGATCCTTATGGAAGGCAGTTCGTTAACCGAAATTTCGTTAACCGAGGCGTTCGTTAAACAAGGGGTCACTGTATTTAGATTTTTGAAATTAGAGATTCTGTACTGTACAATGTTTGTTGTATAACATTACTGTGCCTAACTTTCAAGTTGAGCAAATTTTTAAGTGAATATACAACATAACTGCAAAGAATTGTAGATTTTTTTTTTTTGTAAAATCTTGAGGCATAATACCGTAATTTTTTTTTTGTATATTACAGTACAGTGAATTACAGGTACAGGTATCTGTAATGCTGCACTTCCTTAGAGTGGCAGCCATAGTAGAAGAGTCTAGGTCACTCTGTTCATTCTAAATCTCTATTGCCCTCCTTGAGTCACCTATCCTTTATCCTGTTCTTTCCATAATGTATACATTATTTCACACTTATCTACCACTATGTAGGCTGGATTCAGCACCTTAAAGTTAGTAAAAAACAGTTAAAAGGTTTCATGCCCAAAAAAAAAAATTATTTTTGTAGACCAGTGTTATGAGTTGTTGATAATTTTTACATTGGTTAGGATTGGGCTGTTCTTATAGTGTTCAGCTAATGGTCGAATGGGCTGGATGAGGTTGTATTGCCGAACAGCCATTTGCAGACGAGGGATCTTAAGTGGAAGCAGGAGATGGTGCTGAGGATGATCAAAACTTCACCCCTAACTTATATGGTCGTGGTGATGATCAGAAGGCCTAGAGGGTCAGGTGTTGAGCTCATCTTATGTGGAGTAGGAAGGGGAGAGAATAATCTAAATAATCTTTCATGCCCTCTTGCACTTTTCTAGGTGTTTCCGTTGTGTGGCATTTAGGAAGGAAGACCAGGCAGGGGAGGCATAGGTGAGCTTGGGAAGTATGAATGTTGAGTAAACACCGAAGAGTTCCGGCGCAAGAACTTTGAGGGATTTGAAACTTTGGACGAGGTGGAGGCAAAAGCCGGAAGATTTAACATTTGCACTGACATGTGCTTTCCAATTTAGTTTGTTATCAAAAGTGATGACTGGGAGTTTGGAGGAGTCCACAACCTGGAGTGTGTTGGGGCCCAATGTAATGGAGGAAGATGGGACATGGTTGGAGGAGAGGTTGATGTACAGTCGGGGTCCAAAGTTCGCTCCCGTCCAAAATGAAGCAGCATCAACCCCAAATGAGATGAAACAGTCAGAGTAAGTCATTTCGGAGACTCATTCCCGTGACTCAGTTTCACCATGAGGGGTGAACTTTTTCCCTGACTGTACATATCCATGGTCTTGGTATGGGTGATGGTGACATGGTTGTTTGGTGGCCCAATTTGAGAGATTGTTCCATACTGTATATTCTGGAGGGCGCTGTAGTCAGGATCAGACTTTGCTGATAATCAAATTGTTGTTGACTAAGTTGAATGCATTGGTGAAGTCAATGAAGGCAACAACCACAGATGTCTTGCGTTTTCCAAATGGCATTACATTATATGTGATTGAGAAAGTTGACAAAGCAGTGAGTGGAGGTACAAATTCATATGGCCAAATTGCTGAGGATCAATGTTGCCTGCAATATCAGCATAAGCCCAGTCAAAAACAAAACTCATAGATTAGGCTGGGTATTGGGGTAATGGCAATGGGTCATACTCGTTTAAAGATTGTGGGCTCATTGATTTGGGCACTGGTGACACATAGGAGGTCTTTCAGTCAGCTGGGCATCTAGCTTGACTGAGAGAAGTGTTTATTATGGAGCAGAGGGGTTTAGCTAGTTCTGGGGAAAACTCCTTGTAGAGCCTCATTGGTAGGTCAATGAGAGTGGTGGAGCGCTTGATCCTGAGTTTGTCCAGTTGCCTTGATACTTCAAATTCTACATTAAGTCAGTGGGAGAAAGTGCTGGTAGGTAAGCAGGGAGACTGGTTGTCTCAAGCTGGGGGAGCGTCTGGCATATACTGTACATACAAAATGGTTGTTAGTTTGTTCAGCTGCATCACTATTAGTGAGATGGCTCAGGAGAGGGAAGGGGTGTGGCTTATTGTTCAGTCCACAGAGATCTTTAAGCTTGCTAATACCACTGACGGACACATGTTGCAGCTTGGTTAGGCAGTAAGACTATTTCAAGGATGATGATGTTGCGAAGGGTCCTTTAGCGGTCGTTGAGATAAAAGGCCCTGTCTCCCCTGTCTCTCTGTTGCTTAATCTTTTGATCTGAGGTGTGATTCAGAGCAAGTCAGCTTCCATGGTGGTGTTAGTATAATTTATCCATTTGATTTCTACGTCTACACTTAATAATTCAGTCCAGGGATGGTGAATTATCAACTATCTGAAGAACGCCATGGCAGTTGGTAACCAGTCTTCAGGTCTTGATGTAAGGTCTTTGTACTTGGATGGTCAGTGGGAGCTGGAGGCCAGAACACTGATAGGTGTGTACAGTACTACACCCCTATAGGCAATGGTTGAGGTGGTTGTTACTGGTCCATAGGAGGCATTGGTTGAGGTGGTTGGTACTGGTCCATAGGAGGCATTGGTTGAGGTGGTTGGTACTGGTCCATAGGAGGCAATGGTTGAGGTGGTTGGTACGGGTCCTAGGAGGCATTGGTTGAGGTGGTTGGATACTGGTCCGCGATGGTTGGGAGTGGTTGGTACTGGTCCATAGGAGGCATTGGTTGAGGTGGTTGGTACTGCCCATAGGAGGCAATGGTTGGGGGGTTGGTACTGGCCCATAGGAGGCAATGGTTGGGTGGTTGGTACTGGTCCATAGGAGCCATTGGTTGAGGTGGTTGGTACTGGTCCATAGGAGGCATTGATTAGGGTGGTTGGTACTAAAGGAGGCATTGGTTGAGGTGGTTGGTACTGGTCCATAGGAGGCATTGGTTGAGGTGGTTGGTACTGGCCTAGAGGCATTGGTTAGATGGTTGGTACTGGTCCAAAGGAGGCATTGGTTTGGTAGTTGGTACTGGTCCATAGGAGGTATTGGATGGTTGGTATTGGTCCATAAGGCATTGGTTGAGGTGGTTGGTGCTGGTCCATAGAGGCATTGGTTGAGGGTGGTTGGTACTGGTCCATGGAGGCATTGGTTGAGGTGGTTGGTACTGGTCCATAGGAGGCATTGGCTGAGGTGGTTGGTACTGGTCCATAGGAGCCATTGGTTGAGGTGGTTGGTACTGGTCCAAGGAGGCAATGGTTGAGTGGTTGGTACTGGTCCATAGAGCATTGGTTGAGGTGGTTGGTACTGGTCCATAGGAGCCATTGGTTGGTGATTGGTACTGGTCCATGGAGGCATTGGTTGAGGTAGTTGGTACTGGTCCATAGGAGCATTAGGAGGTGGGTACTGGTCCATGGAGGCATTGGTTGAGGTGGTTGGTACTGGTCCATAGGAGGCATTGGTTAGGGATTGGTACTGGTCCATAGGAGGCATTGGAGGTGATTGGTACTGGTCCATAGGAGGCATTGGTTGAGGTGGTTGGTACTGGTCCATAGGAGGCATTGGTTGAGGTGGTTGGTACTGGTCCATAGGAGGCATTGGTTGAGGTGGTTGTTAATGGTCCATAGGAGGCATTGGTTGAGGTGGTTGGTACTGGTCCATAGGAGGCATTGGTTGAGGTGGTTGGTACTGGCCCATAGGAGGCATTGGTTTGAGGTGGTTGGTACTTCTAAAGGAGGCATTGGTTGAGGTAGTTGGTACTGGTCCATAGGAGGCATTGGTTGAGGTGGTTGGTACTGGTCCATAGGAGGCATTGGTTGAGGTGGTTGGTACTGGTCCAAAGGAGGCATTGGTTGAGGTGGTTGGTACTGGTCCATAGGAGGCATTGTTGAGGTGGTTGCATGGGCCCACAGGAGGCATTGGTTTGAGGTGGTTGGTACTGGTCCATAGGAGGCATTGGTTGAGGTAGTTGGTACTGGTCCATAGGAGGCATTGGTTGAGGTGGTTGGTACCGGTCCATAGGAGCCATTGGTTGAGGTGATTGGTACTGGTCCATAGGAAGCATTGGTTGAGTGGTTGGTACTGGTCCATAGGAGGCATTGGTTATAGTGGTACTGGTCCATAGGAGGCATTGGTTGAGGTGATTGGTACTGGTCCATAGGTGGCATTGGTTGAGGTGTAGTTGGTACTGGTCCATAGGTGGCATTGGTTGGGGTGATTGGTACTGGTCCATAGGAGGCATTGGTTGAGGTAGTTGGTACTGGTCCATAGGAGGCATTGGTTGAGGTGATTGGTACTGGTCCATAGGTGGCATTGGTTGAGGTAGTTGGTACTGGTCCATAGGTGGCATTGGTTGGGGTAGTTGGTACTGGTCCATAGGAGGCATTGGTTGAGGGTTGGTACTGGTCCATAGGAGGCATTGGTTGAGGTGATTGGTACTGGTCCATAGGAGGCATTGGTTGAGGTGGTTGGTACTGGTCCATAGGGACCATTGGTTGAGGTGATTGGTACTGGTCCATAGGAGGCATTGGTTGAGGTAGTTGGTACTGGTCCATAGGAGGCATTGGTTGAGGTGGTTGGTACTGGTCCATAGGAGGCATTGGTTGAAGTAGTTGGTACTGGTCCACTAACTCAGTTAAGATAAGGTCAGTGGTTTTCTGACCGTGTGTAGGTAAGTTCACAGCCTGATAGTAGCAGTTGTTCCTCTATGTCAGTGGTGTTAATTTCGCTGAAATCCCCACAGAGTACTAGCTTGGCACTAGGTACCTCACTTTGAGGTGGTCTTAGGTGGTAATGAAGGGATTGATTAGAGTGTCTCTGGTGGGTGAGCGAGGCTGATGGTAAAACACACAGTATATTATGATGATGTGGCGAGGGTGAGCGCGTGATTCAACATGTACCTATAATGTGCAGATCTATTTTCCGTTTGTAATGTGGTTCACTGTTCAGAGAGGGAGTATGTGTCAGTAGCCTCGACTGGTATAACAATGGCACAATGCAAACGCACATGTGTTTACATGACAAACACAGGTGTTATGCCATCTTCCCCGTGGTGGCTTAAGCATTACAATGGCGAGGCACACGAGCCAAACACAGCAAGCGCCATGGTGACCTTTGAAGGGTGATGTAGACATGTGGTGGTGGGTTGACAGTGCACCATGATGTATGAGGCAACAAAGACGATAGGTAGAGAGGGCGAGACCGTGGACAATGAAGGATGAAATTTTGTTACCTGCCAAGAACTTCACATTACCGCTCCTTCATCTCTCACCTGCTCAATATTCTTTGTCTTACTAACCTCATTCACACTTATCACTTGCCACTTTCTCTTCTCACCTCTCTTCCCTCTTCTACCTTACCTTGAATCCTGCTCTTCCCTCCTCTACATTGTGTTCTTTCTACTACCTCACCCTCACTTGTTACCACTTCCTCCCTATCCCACTTCCACCTCAACCTCATTTCCTCCTTCCTTCCCACCTCCAACTCGCCCTCACCCTCTGCTCCTGTCATCTCTTCCTCACCTTTCAGTCTCAACCCCCACCTTCTTCCCCCACCCCCCCCCCCTTCCCCCATTTCTCCCTCTCCCTCCCACCTCACCCATACCCTTTCCCCTCTAACTTACCTTCTCACCTGTTTTTTCTTTTTTTCTCTTCCATCTCTGTCTTCTATTCCTCTCCTGTTCTACTTTCACCTTTTCCTCTTCGCCCGGTCCCTGTTCCTCATTTCATTCCCATCTCTCTTATTCTCGTTTGTTCTTATCCTTTGTCCTGACTTTGCTATTTTCTGTCCCCTTCACTTCATTCCCATTTCGTTGTCTCCCTTTCTTTTATTTTCTTGTTTAATGTTATCTGTTCTCTTGTCAGTTTTCCTCCGGTTTTAGTCTTCGTCTTCTATTTCCTCCTGATTTTTACAGTATACTTTTGCTTTTCCTGTGTTTTTCACCACACACACACACACACACACACACACACACACACACACACACACACACACACACACACACACACACACACACACACACACACACACATCTGATCACATTAGCACGGTAAAGTAACCCTCAACGATTCTCTTTATGTTTGGTATAAAAATCGTTACAAAGTGCTCAATGGAGTGATGTGCTTAAGCCGTGAAGGGAAACTAATGTAGGTTATGACGGTGTATCTCCGGAGCGTGGCAAGGAAACACTTGTTCTCCATGTCTGGGTGAATGAACAGCATGGAGGGCGCCGTCTGACTCAAGTGCTGTGAGGATTGGGAGGACCTAATTGATATCTGCCCATATATGCCTTTAATTTATTAGTGTATACTGTACTGGATTACGTGTTATATATTTTTTCATCAGCACTGTCCTCTGTTATACAGTTTTTCTTATATTGTGTATTGTTATTTTCCCTTATGCTGTATTGTATCATTTGAAGATTGGTCCTCCCAGCTTATTTCACCTCCACATTAATGCCCTAACCTAACCTAAATTAAATTCACCTAACCTAATTGAACTAAATCTTACTTAACCAAAATTAACCTATCCAAACTCAACCTAACCCCTCAGTAACGTTAGGGTGGTTAATCTTCAAGTGAAATAAGCTGAAGAAGCGATTTTTTTTACACAGGATTAGCCCACCTGAGCACAGGTCACTGACCCACATCGGGGCCCAAGTGAAATGTAATAATAATAATAATAATAATAATAATAATAATAATAATAATATTTCATAGTAAATAAAATTTATAATAAGAAATAATAATAATAATAATAATAATAATAAAGAACTTACAAAATGAAAATAGATCAAAAGTGAGAAACAATATATGTATGTTGTGTTGTCAATAATAAGAGAACAACTGAGACCCTGCGATTGTGTGTAAATGAGGCAGAAAGTCAGATCAGCAACCTGAGACTTGGTCACAATTTGTGATGATAGATGTAACCTTTTGTTTATACAGTATTGTTAATTCACATATTGTTAACTTTGTTCTTATTCATTTAATATTGGAGTTTATTATCACAGCATCAGTTATTTGGTAAATTAGGAGCCCAGGTGTTATTATGGGCTCCTCTCCTGTTTTTATTTTTTGCGTATTCTGTGGCTAAATAGTTATTGAGACATGGCTGCGGTGTGAACCAAGTTTTAGAGGAGAAAAAGTGACAAGAGTAAATGGATAAAATAGAGCAATGCTTGAAGTACTTGTACCGTACCGTGTTCTGGAGAAAATATTAGCGTACTACAGTAGTGTGTGATGTTGATATATTGTAAGTGACACCGTTGAAAATTTTTTACTGTCAAGGAACACTGCAGTCTATAATAGCGAATAAAGCCTTTGTTGTTCGCTGTCTTCCATTCTTCATCAATTGTAGAAAACACGTTCATTATTTTAATTTATTATTCATCACATTTTTTCTTTTTTTCTATTATTGTTATTTTATATGTTGACCGTTATATAATTAATAACCGATAAATATCATTAGGGAAACTAATACGTAGTCCAAGGAACGTGTTTCGAGTAACCGGATATTGGAAGCATAATGTGTTGTCTAATGGTAGACCCTGCTACCATATGGCATCATGAAAATTCTGACCAAGTCCCAGGTTGCTGATCTGACTTCTGCCTCATTTACACACAATTGCAGGGTCTCAATTGTTTATCTTACTATTGACAACACAACATACATATATTGTTTCTCACCTTTTTTCATTTTTGTATTTATTATCATCATCATCATCGTCATCGTCATCATCATCATCATCATCATCATCATCATCATCATCATCATCATCATCATCAATCATCATCATCATCAATCATCATCATCATCATCATCATCATCATCATCAATCATCATCATCATCAATCATCATCATCATCATCATCATCATCATCAATCATCATCATCATCATCATCATCATCATCATCATCAATCAATACATCATCAATCATCATCATCATCATCGTCATCGTCATCATCATCATCATCATCATCATCATCATCATCATCAATCATCATCATCATCATCATCAATCATCATCATCATCAATCATCATCATCATCATCATCATCATCATCATCATCATCATCATCATCATCATTATTATTATTATTATTATTATTATTATTATTATTATTATTATTACATTTTCGCCCCCCCCCCTCCCAGGCCCCAATGTGGGTCAGTGACCTGTGCCCGGGTGGGCTAATCCCCTTAAAAAATAAATAAAATAAAAATTTAAATAATACTTCCTTGAGATAAATGTATAGTATATATCAAGTGCCTAAAAGAGAGCTCAGACTTTCAACTGGCTCAGCCATGTTAATATTGTAATTATTATCCACTCTGTATCTGTGTTTTTCTGGCTAAATAAACTGTTTCAATTAAAAAATTCAATTCACTCTCTTAACTAGACTGGCCACTCGCAAATTAATCCGGTTAAGGTAGACTTTCCGGTACTGGTATACAACTGCGTGTGTGGGATGGGGAGGGGGGGGGGCAAAATGTCAGAGGTCAAACTTAAGGTTGTTGGTGACCTTCACAACTCATGATGACGGAGACATTTAATGGACCAAGAGAGGGGTGATGGTCAGTGTCAGAGGCTAGAAGGTCTTGCGTCAACCGTTCATACATTTGTCATGTTCACTCGGAACCTCCGCCTTGTGTGAGGTACAGTACAAGTGTCACTTCAGTTGTCAGATATTCTATATGATGAAACATTTAATGAACTTGTCACTTCTGAAGAAAAATGCTATTGTGCAGCCAAAGTTTATTTGACTGTAGTGCCTTTTCGTACTTGCTCACACACACACACACACACACACACACACACACACACACACACACACACACACACACACACACACACACACACACACCCCATCCTCGACACCAGCTCTCTACCTGAGATCCCTTGTCCGAGAATTGCTGTTCGACACCACAACCGCATCCAGCCCATACGTGCATGAACTGATCGCTATAAGAACAGCCCAGTCCCAACCATTGTAAAAATTATCAATAACTTGTAATAAATCAGTGTATTCACTCCCAGTAAACACTACTCCTTGCACTGTCACTATGTTGAAATGAACTGTAGTTTGAGCTTTTCCCCATCTAGTTATTATATGTCTTATTTGTGTCACTTATGTTACTTGTATATTATTTGTAATTCGAAACCCATTCCCCAAATATGCAACTGTATATTTTCAGCCTTCTGGCTGCCAAGCTCTTTCAATAAACCGTTAATTATTATTATTATTATTACACACACACACACACACACACACACATACACATATATATATATTTATATATATATATAATATATATATATATACAGTATATATATATATATATATATATATATATATATATATAT